ACCAAGACAACAGTGCATTAGTGTTCGCAATAAAGCTAACAGAATTCTTAGCTTCATATCTAGAAGTATAAATAATAGAAGTCCTCAGGTTGTTCTTCAACTCTATATATCCTTGGTTAGGCCTCATTTAGACTATGCTGCTCAGTTCTGGTCACCGTATTACAGAATGGATATAAACGCTCTGGAAAACGTACAAAGGAGGATGACAAAGATGATCCCATGTATCAGAAATCTTCCCTATGAGATAGACTGAGGGCCCTGAACCTGCACTCTCTCGAAAGGCGTAAAATTAGGGGGGATATGATCGAGGTGCATAAATGGAAAACAGGAATAAATAAAGGGGATGTAAATAGCGTGCTGAAAATTTCCAGCCAAGACAGGACTCGCAGCAATGGTTTCAAGTTGGAAAAATTCAGATTCAGGAAGGATATAGGAAAGCACTGGTTTGGTAATAGAGTTGTTGATGAGTGGAACAAACTCCCGAGTACAGTTATTGAGGCTAAAACGTTGTGTAGTTTTAAAAATAGGTTAGATAAATACATGAGTGGGTGTGGGTGGGTGTGAGTTGGACCTGACTAGCTTGTGCTGCTGGGTCTGGTACAGTGCTCCATCCTTGAGTGGGGATGACCAGACTGGGTGGGTCATTGGGATAATCCGGGGTGGGACATGGACCTGCTCCGCGTGGGTCAGTAGGCCTGTTGCAGTGTTCCTTCTTTCTTATGTTCTTATGTTCATGACGCGGTGAGGTGGTGGAGGAGGATGCCTGGACGCTCATGAAATCAACACAGCTTCGCATTTCATGACGATGCACTATAACAACGACATCTTCCTAATAATTAACGACACACACCAGCTAATATATATGTTTTTTGCCAACTAACTCTGCTGTAAGCCGTGGTGGTTGCTAGGGTGCGTCAGTCTTAGTGGTGGTGGTGGTTAGGGTGTGTAAATCTTTGTAATGGTTGGCTAGGGTGTGCCAGTCTTTATGATGGTTGGCTAGGGTGTGTCAGTCTTTATGATGGTTGGCTAGGGTGTGTCAGTCTTTATGATGGTTGGCTAGGGTGTGCCAGTCTTTATGATGGTTGGCTAGGGTGTGTCAGTCTTTATGATGGTTGGCTAGGGTGTGTCAGTCTTTATGATGGTTGGCTAGGGTGTGTCAGTCTTTGTGGTGATTGACATGGCCGTCCTGGCAGCCCTGAACTCGGCAACCAGAGTAGAGCCCAACGCTTACACCCTGGTTGACTCCTCACTTACCGGCTGAGCGGCTGTGGTCGTTGCGGATTTGATGGTCACGGATATAAAGGGTTGCAGATTTGGGGGCCGCAGATTTAGGTGGGTCATTGTTAATAAGAAACTTTCTTTTGGCATCAACTTGGTCGCTACTAAAGTTAATGTCAACAAATGGCTGTTAACCTGCAGATTACGTTTAAAAACATACTTTCAACAAACAAGTCCCTTTGCTAAAATTTATATCTCTGCTGAAAGAGACTTTTCAATAATATTAATCCTGGAAAGTACCTTCATCATGCGAATTTTGCTAGGTCAACATAAGTTAGGCTAATGAGGTTTAAAACCTATCGATTACACGAGGGTCATTAAGACCGCACAGAAACCCTTTACACACCATCAGTCAAGAATAGTTTAATCTCTAAAATAGGGATTAAAGTATTCTCTCAGTATATATACGCTGAGAGAAATACACCTGTCATTGTATATACGCCGGCGACATCGACAGCTCTTCCTCTCGTTTATGCAAATCTGTAAAAAGGTGCGAACACCTTACATCAAATTTATGCATGTTGATGGATTGAATTTGATTTACTGCAAAACGTAAATAGATTGTATTAATGAGGTGGGAATCATGGGTAATATTTGAGGACTTTGTGTGTTGTCCCGTGACTCAAAAAAAAGGTGTTTTGTAATTATATTAAAGGAGAAGCGTTAAACCGGTAGGGGTCTGGGAAACTGGAAGAAATCAAGAAGAAAAAAAATTATTTTTGAGTGAAAGTGTGTGATCTTTAATATTTTAATCAATTGTTCATATTAATTACAATAATTTACGAAAAGTTTTAGCAAAACGTAATTAAAAGAATTTGCTCTAGAGAGTGAAAAATTATCTATCCACACAGACCTGAATTTCCATGATTTTTAAGGAGTTATGGGATAGGGATAGCAAGGGAGGAAAGGGGCCGGGATAGATCAAAGTGGTTGAAAAGGTCGTGGTTAGAAAGGAAGAAATGAATGGGTAAGACAGACTGATTGAAGGATGCACTCCGAGTTGATGCTAGAAGAGTGTTTGGGTGACATAGTGGCGACTGGTTAGCTTCCTTGTTAGCGGTTAGTCTACCTACCTGGAGTCAACCTGGAGTCTACCTGCAGTCTACCTGGAGGGCTTCTCCTTGTTTATTAGCAGTGATGACAGACACGGGGAAGCTGACCTTGACAGATTTTCTTTGTCTCCTGCGCTACATGTCAGACTCAATGTACCCGCCACCTCACAACTTGTTAGGATTTACGCATTAACCACCTAGAAATCCCCACCACCACCACTACTACTATTACTACTACTACTACCACTACTACTATTACTATAACTGCTGCTACTACTACTACTACTACCACACCACCATTATTATTATCATTACTGTCTCACGAAATTATAATAACGCGATTTTAAACAAACCATGGAACGGCTGGGGCTTGAATCCATGCCGAGCGAGTCTTTAAGTTCACTTGTCGAGTGGTTAACTCTCTGGCCTGTGAATTTTAAGACTCACTTGCCAATGGGTTCAACCCCCACCCGTTCCCTGGTTTGTTTACCATTACTGTCTTCTGATCTTCTCCGCTTGTAGACCAAAACGTCATCTACAGCTTCCTAAATGTGGATTATTGGCGTATTGTTCCAGCCAGGGTATTATGACCTTAATTCTTAACTACAGATTATTTTTTAGGGCGCAGGAAGTTACAGGGGAATTTTCACGCTGCTGAGATGCCAGGTCTTCCCTACGGATACGTGGAAGATGTTGCTAAAACTGCTACTTTAAGTATGCAAGAGCGTACTCCAGAATACTTAATATCCTGGTTCTGTCCTGGGTTGGGTACTGCTGCCCACAGGATACTCCTCCTCAAGGTCATTTCCGCATCTTACGTGCGTGTTGATTATAGTTGGTGCATTAGTCACCCCTTAACACCCTCTGGTGACAGCTGCAGGTGGTGACAGCTGCTGCTCACAGGTGGTGGAACCTCTACAGCTGCTGCTGACAGGTGGTGACAGCTGCTGCTGACAGGTGGTGACAGCTGCTGCTCACAGGTGGTGACAGCTGCTGCTCACAGGAGGTGGCAGGTGTGAAGGTGTAATCGTCCATCGTCCTTGATGATGAGGCAGACGCCTATACTATGGCACATTTGCCAATACAGACTTAGGAAGCAGGCGCCATCACTGGACGGTTCATACGAGTAAGTTAGGTAACGAAGGCGATAAGATATCCTCTCAGACACCTTTCCAAAGTCAGACATCGTGGCTTTCAAACTAGCAAAGGCTATTTCCAGACACCCAAGCCTTCGGGATAAATTTCCCCATGGAAACTCATTTGCTACCGACCATCTCTGCAATCCCTGAGTATGAGGGGGGGGGGCAAATACATCAGCTGCACACACCCACTGACGTTGCTGCTGGTATACCATTACGCTATTTTTGTTAGTAAGTTTGAGTTTGAGAAGGACCTGCCTAGCAGGGGCCAGTAGGCCTGCTGAAGTGCTCTTCCTTTCTTATGTTTTTAAAATTACTGTGCGAGTAGCTGCAAGTAGTTCTTTTTATAATACATTTGTGGCTCCCGGGCCTTCCATCAAGACTCACTGTGCCTTTTTCAGGATGCACTTTCTATATTGGCCCTTTTACTATTAGAGAATTCTCTTTGATTTCAATAAGGGTCGCAGATAATTTGCAACGAATTTTTTTTCTTAGGCTGCTTTTAGTCTAGTCTATTCAGATATTACGAAGGTTTTTATACGACTTAAAAAGCTATTTTCTAAACATTAGTTAAAACTTACAAAAATTATGTTTTTCAAAGTTAAGTCTTTATATAATTTAAATTAAAGTATTGTAAGTTAGGGAAGTTGTCATTAACTTTAAACACATTTATTTAAGTACAGACAAATTAGATAAACGTTCACGACAAGATTATGACCTGGTCAATGGTTATTTTCATTATTTTCACTGGAAGAACATTAAAGCTGTAAGGATTATACAGCGCCTTAGATTGGGAGGCAATCAGGTTTTATTCAAGGCAATAGAGAGTAACTCTAGTTCCTTGGAACAGCTCAGTGGTGAAGAATGTGGCACAGGTGACAATCATTAATCCTACGTATAGAAATAAAGGCTCTCACAGTCTTCTAAAATACCTCAAAGTGGATATTTTTTTGAAGTTAAAAGCTCTGTCTCCATAGCCTTAGTTCTACACCTCGCCCCTTAAGTGCTAAGATCAGCCTTTTTTCGTATATATTTATATTCAGTAATTTTTTGTGTCCTCCCATCAGGTCAATCAACTTTCTTTAGTCATGCAAACAAATTGACTTTATCTCCCCCATTATGCCTTTTAAACCTGTTAGTAGTTTACAATGTTTTCCATAGATGTGCTTTTGTCAAAGTTAGCGGGATATAACTTCAGTGTTTGTTGATGTCTCTCTAAAGTGACAAAGATATTAAATAACAAATAAAAGAGTTAGAATAACACGAGCGAGGGTGTGATCACCGTTGTTTACACCCTGAGTCAGCTGTGCAAATCTTGCACATAAGATTCAGTATACACATTTGTTTTCCAAGTTCAAGTTTATAACTGGTGTGTTTTTAAATCAGTTTATGTATTTTAATAGTTTTCTAATAACCTTGCACTTATATTTTGTGCGTGACTATTTGTACAGAGCACAAAAGGGTACACGAGTGTGACTGACGTGGTATAATACTACCTGTATATTTGTATAAGGTATAATGAATAGTATAGTTGCATAAATAAATATTTATTTTTTCACTAAAAATTCTTCTGACAGACATAAATTATTGAAAAACCAGTTGGTGACTTCCTGACAATCTTGTTGAGATTCATGACTGATGCCTTCGACGTCTTCCCTCACAAGGGGAGCAGTGGAGGCTGACGGTGGTGTGGATGTTGAAGGAATTGGAGGCTCAAGATTAGGTGTTGGACAAGCTCCAGTTACGTATCGGTATTTGCACCAGTAATTGTAGCTGTAAATTTCCAAATCGTTAATCTCTTGAGGAATGATCTGTATTTCTTGATTGAATAATCTATCCTTCTCATGGGAGACGACTGCTGGCAGTAGAGAAGCGTCCATCGTTAACCAAAGAATCCATTACCAAATCTGCCAAACTCGTGACTTCCAAATCTACGACGTCCAAATCTACGACCACCAAATCCACCTCCAAATCCACCACCACCAAATCCACCAAATCCACCAAATCCACCAAATCCACCAAATCCACCCCCAAATCCACGCCCACCAAATCTTCCAAACTCGTGACTTCCAAATCCAAACTGTGGGTCAGGATCAGCCTTGGCATCAGGGTCAGGCATGGCTCTGGCTGACCCCATCACAGTGGTCAGTGCCACCACCAGTACCAACACAACGGCCACCTGTTAAAACGAAATAAAAACTGTTGATACATAGAGGTTAAGTAGAAATACAGTAAATATTATAATTACTGAAAGAAATTGTTTTCATGGATCACATGACATCAGGAGTCGTAATTTGAAATTCCTAAAGGATACATTTAAATATTTGATTTGAAATGGTTGTGAAAATTCAATATTTCTAAATCAGCGGAGCAATCTGTCTTTAAAGTGAAAAAAGAAGGAATTGAAGCTTTAAACTCAGTTAACGAACCAACCAACAAATGAAAACCGGGCTGCTGTATGTTTCTACCACTGGCTGAGGTCCACTTAAATGTTCTTAGTTAGCTCTTTTCTGCTGAAGAGGACTTCAGTTAGAGCCCGAAATATACAGTCTGCTTTTCATTTTATGTTTCGTTTACATCTCCAAGTGTGTGTTCTTCACTCGTTACCAACATTACAGACTTGAGAATGTTATCCCACCGACCAGTGGGATAGTCAGCTAAGAAACTAAGATTCTCAGTCAAGGATGACTGTAAGCTTCTCAGTCGAGGGTCACTATGTGACTCTCAGTCGAGGATCACTATGTGACTCTCAGTCGAATATCACTATGTGACTCTCAGTCGAGGATCACTATGTGACTCTCAGTCGAATATAACTATGTGACTCTCAGTCGAGGATCACTATGTGACTCTCAGTCGAATATCACTATGTGACTCTCAGTAGAATATCACTATGTGACTCTCAGTCAAGGATCACTATATGACTCTCAGTCGAGGATCACTATGTGACTCTCAGTCGAATATTACTATGTGACTCTCAGTCGAATATCACTATGTGACTCTCAGTCGAATATCACTATGTGACTCTCAGTCGAGGATCACTATGTGACTCTTAGTCGAATATCACTATGTGACTCTCAGTCGAATATCACTATGTGACTCTCAGTCGAGGATCACTATGTGACTCTCAGTCGAATATCACTATGTGTCTCTCAGTCGAATATCACTATGTGACTCTCAGTCGAATATCACTATGTGACTCTCAGTCGAGGATCACTATGTGACTCTCAGTCGAATATCACTATGTGACTCTCAGTCGAATATCACTATGTGACTCTCAGTCGAATATCCATACTATGTGACTCTCAGTCGAATATCACTATGTGACTCTCAGTCGAGGATCACTATATGACTCTCAGTCGAATATCACTATGTGACTCTCAGTCAAATATCACTATGTGATTCTCAGTCGAGGATCACTATGTGACTCTCAGTCGAATATCACTATGTGACTCTCAGTCGACGCTCACTATATGACTCTGAAAGAACCATTGCTCATTAAAGGTACTCACAAGTTTCATGTTAAGGAGGTATGTGTTGTGTACACGAGTCCTGTAGCTGCTTGACTGTGCCCATCAGCCGTGGTGATGGGTCTTATATACTCTCCTGGGAAACCGCCCGCCGCCCACTGCCCTTCCTGGCACCTCCTCTACTCGGTCACTTTCTAACCGCTCCGAAAAAAATAAACAATGTGAATATATGTGTACCGTCCAAAGGATGCATTTCCTCGGTAGTAACGAAGTTATTTATTGTTTCTACGTAACAGTGCTTGTGTTATGTAAACCACGTGATTTTTTTTTTAATTTAGCATGCCAAGTATTATTATTATTGTTATTATTGTTATTATCGTTATTATTATTATTATTATTATTATTATTATTATTATTATTATTATTATTATTATTATTATTATTAACAACGACAAATAAATCCACACCAACATTAACAGGTCTGTCAAGGAGATGTAAAGGAGACACTAGAGAGGGTGACAATAGGGAAGCGTGAAGCTGACAGACTAGAGAATATTAACCAGCCTCATAAATCTTTGAAAAAATTTCTGTTAATACCCAAGACTATAGCAACAATATTCACAGTAATCGTGCAGTAGTCTGATGAACAATAATTAAAAGATATCGTAATAGGAATTGGGTTTCATGGGACCGTATGCTGGTAGAGATGTTAGCACAGTGTATGTAAACACTTACCTGAGGAACGTGCCAGTTAAAACAAGGGCAAAGTCAGTGCTGCTCTGGTTTCACGCACGAAGGGTCGAAACATCTGGACTATGTTTCAATAAAGACCTGCTTTGTATGGGCCAGTAGGCCTGCTGAAGTGTTCCTTCATTCTTATGTTCTTATAGGCCTGTATAAGTTTGTGTACGTTTACTAAATAAAGGAAACAACGAAGAACAGCAGATGTGATATATTGTGACAGTAGAACAGAGGAAACGTTAATAACTAAAAAAACGTATCATGTCTTGTTAAGCTGTGGTAACATACCAGTACAATAGCAGACAGGCGATCTTAACAATTGCAAACAGACGATCTTAACAATCGCAAAAAGGCGATCTTAACAATCGCAGAAAAACGATCTTAACAATCGCAAACAGGCGATCTTAACAATCGCAGACAGGCGATCTTAACAATCATGAACAGGCAATCTTAACAATCGCAAACAGGCGATCTTAACAATCGCAGACAGGCGATCTTAACAATCATAAACAGGCAATCTTAACAATTATAAACAGGCGATCTTAACAATCACAGAAAGGTGATCTTAACAATTGCAAATAGGCGATCTTAACAATCGCAAAAAGGCGATTTTAACAATCGCAGAAAGGCGATCTTAACAATCGCAGAAAGGCGATCTTAACAATTGCAAACAGGCGATCTTAACAATCGCAGACAGGCGATCTTAACAATCATAAACAGGCAATCTTAACAATCATAAACAGGCGATCTTAACAATCGCAGAAAGGCGATCTTAACAATCATAAACAGGCAATCTTAACAATCGGAAACAGGCGATCTTAATAATCGCAGAAAGGCGATCTTAACAATCGCAGACAGGCGATCTTAACAATCTCAGAAAGGCGATCTTAACAATTGCAAATAGGCGATCTTAACAATCGCAAAAAGGCGATCTTAACAATCGGAAACAGGCGATCTTAACAATCTCAGAAAGGCGATCTTAACAATCATAAACAGGCAATCTTAACAATCATAAACATGCGATCTTAACAATCGCAGAAAGGCGATCTTAACAATTGCAAACAGGCGATCTTAACAATCGCAGAAAGGCGATCTTAACAATCATAAACAGGCAATTTTAACAATCGCAAACAGGCGATCTTAATAATCGCAGAAAGGCGATCTTAACAATCGCAGACAGGCGATCTTAACAATCTCAGAAAGGCGATCTTAACAATCATAAACAGGCAATCTTAACAATCGCAAACAGGCGATCTTAACAATCATAAACAGGCAATCTTAACAATCGCAAACAGGCGATCTTAACAATCGCAGAAAGACGATCTTAACAATCGCAGACAGGCGATCTTAACAATCACAGACAGGCGAGCTTAACAATCACAGACAGGCGAGCTTAACAATCACAGACAGGCGATCATAACAATCGCAGACAGGCGATCTTAACTTAAGGGTTAACAACGCAAGACAAGCTACGGGGAGTGAAAATCTTCAGCTCAAACTTAAGATTTCCATCCCCCTCGTGGCTTGTCTTGCACTGTGGTTCCATGTGTGTAGCTACGACTAGTTGAATATTTGAGGTAACACGTAGATAAAAGGTTCAGAGTACCAACTAGTTTCCTCAATAAAGACTCCCAAGTGTTGCACAGGTCACACGTATATGGGCTTAGTTGAATGAAAAATCGAATATTATCGACAACAGCAAATAAAACCTCACACTTTTCTGAACACGATTTTGTTGGCTTTATCAGGCCAGGACATAATGAAGCTGTACACAAATTAAAGCCATATCCAACTAAATAGGTTTTTCCATAGCATGATTTTTTTTTTCCTGGTACAGGACTATTATTTAAAAGCTCAGCACTGAATCATTGAGATAAAGAGTAATTTAGATTCAAGAGTGTAAGAGGATGGAAGCTTTTCTTTTTCTTAGGGGGTACCATATTAATAAATAACAAAAAGGCACAATACCGTGACTGGAACGATACACAAATAACCCGCACATAAAAGAGAGAAGCTTACGACGACGTTTCGGTCCGACTTGGACCATTGACAAAGTCACGTCGTCGTAAGCTTCTCTCTTTTATGTGCGGGTTATTTGTGTACCATATTAATTCTTCAAGGTGGTGTTGACTCAGCTAGCAGCTTCAAGAAGTGTCGCTTGGTACTGCCAAGGACGCTGAGGGATCCAGTGCTCTCAGCTCTGTAAGAAGAAAAGAACCCCGTGATGAATGAAGAAAAAGACAGAATCAATCATCCAGAAGTTCCAATAACATTCCCAAGAAAGGACAGAAACCATTACCACAAGAGATAAACATTACTTTCTATAAATGATATAAACAATGGTCAAGCGAGGTTGCCAACAGTATGACGGAAATAAAAACACTATGATCCTTTACGGACGTTACACTTAAGTCCCTCTTCAAAATGACTTGTAAAGACTGTCATGTCTCCCTGATCAAGTACAGCGACGGGTTAAAGCGAGGAAAAAAGAGAGTACAATAAAAAGAGTACAAAAAGAGAGAGTACAATAGAAAGAAAGAACAAAAACGAGAGTATAATAAAAACAGAGTACAAAAAAGAGAGTACAATATTAATGGAGTACATGATAACCACTGGAGTATACCTCTGGAGTATACCTAGAGGAGTATACCTAGAGGGTGTCCCGAGGGTCAACGCCCCCCGCGGATGAGTAATACAACGTCAGCAGTACAACTGTACAGTACACACTCTAACACACACATCTACTCCCCACTGTGTATTATCCTGTAAGATATATTAACTATATGCCCATAACTAGAGCGTCTATAGAAGATTTACAAGAAAAAAGAAACGTTGTCTATTATGGCATTACGCCAATATGAAGATCGGAAAGAAATCATATGGGATCGAACTGTCGTTCCATTGGTGGTGGGGCAGCAAAATATAAGTCACATGCGTCGGGAATGGCGAGATTAACCTTCTGCCGTAATCAAAACAAGCGAGTCCGACATAAACGTCAGTGATTACCCACGCAGCGAGTACACTGTCTCAGCAGGGAGGCCAGGGTCAACCAGTCTGTATGAGCACGCTGACACTGTCAGGTTTGCCGGGTCCACTTTGTCTTACGCCACCAAGGCCAATATGATGGAAAAACACCATTACATGTATACATCCATACATGCACACACACACACACACACACACACTTATGTATGTATGTATATATATATATATATATTATATATATATATATATATATATATATATATATATATATATATATATATATATAAATATATATATATATATATATATATATATATATATATATATATATATATATATATATAATATATATATATATATATAGGATGGGGTCCACCTCTGGTGTAAATTGTGGGACCCATAGCCTCGGAGAAGTGGATAAAAACGCTTCAAGGAAGAATATTTGGAATTCTTCCTGATGCCGTTTGAATATTCCACTTCCCCTACCACCCCATCTTTTCATTGTTTTTTTACCAAAAGCAATATTTTATTACAACCGGTACAGAAGATTTAAGAGACACATCGTTGATATAAAGGTGGTATATACGGTATATGTTGTTACATGTGTGTCACCGATTATGAGGCGAAAATCTCATCCAGCTCCTCAGAACTGGGGCGTGTGCCCAAAATACAGCAGGCATTACCCCTTTGAACAGCCGCATTGAGCCGCTGGAACAGAAAACTGGCTGCCCTGGGATCCCTAGTTACTCTGATGAGTCTTTTTCCCAGCTCCTTAAGGAATTTAGATGCATTATTTCCCCATGAGCCAAGGGTCTCTGCGCCTATGGGAACAAACATATAGTGATGGGCAAGTTCTCCATATTTTTTAGACTTTTGGGACTCCCTGAAGCTGGTAGCTGCCCCTCCTTCCTCCCTGGTGTATTGGAGATAGGTATCAGCCAAGGTAGATGCACATGTATAGTCCCACACCACCTGCTTCCCGTCTGTCCCAGGCTTGAAGTGTGATACCATCTGGACGCTTCTGGCTGCCATCAGATCTGCATAGCTGGGGTGGCTCCCTTACTGCTGGGCATCCGGCTGTTGTGAGGCTCCTCTTGATGTTATTAACCTCCTCATGTCTTGCAATCTTTCCCTCGGATTTTCGGCACACAAGACCATGGTACGCGAATCGGTCTGCTGCTTCACTGCCACAAATACACCTGTGTTCGGCGAGAATAGGGGCGGCAAGTCGAAGGGTAACACCGATGCGGATGATCTGTGGGTAGAGGCGTGTGCTAAGGCTGGAGTTGGGAACAGCCAACAGAAAGTCCCCAGCATGAGGGGCTCTCACTGCCAGGAGGCGGGCTCTATCCTTTCCTGACACACTCTGAAGCATTGTTGAGGCTATATTTTCCACTGTTTGACCATCCCAGTGCGATTGTTTGTAGTTGTTGGGGGAGCAGGTCTGGTTTCAGAGCCAGTTAGATTATCCCAGATCATGGCTCCGTCAATGAACTTTTGGTCCTGGACTCCAATCTTGTCCCTAAGATGTTCAGGGAGAATCGCTGCTACAAGCCCTCTGGATGTAATACATGAGGACAGAAAAGCAGGTAGTGCAATCTGTGATGACTTGCAGACACCAATGCCTCCTAGTCTGACTGGAAGTGTAGCTTTGTTCCACTGCCCGTCTTCTAGAGTAAGGTTAAGTACTTTCGCAAAAATCTGCCTCAGGATACTGTCATATTCGTGCAGTATAGGGTTATCATATGAAGGTGCACATCTTAAGAAATATGTCAACCTGGGCAGACTCAGGCACTTTGTGAGAAGGTACAAGGCATCGTGGGTGTCAAGATTGCCTATTCATTGTTCCATTCTCCTTAACTCTTGCAATTTCTTCATGAGAATTGTGTCAATGGCATTGCTTCCCAGAGGTGATCCTAGCAAGACACTATTTGTGGGGGTAATGACTGCTGCTCCTGGTAGTTTTGATCTCACTGCATTTATCACTTGTTGACTGACTGAGACGATTTCGCATTTGGATGGATTCAGGATGAGACCCACTTCCTGTCCCCGTGTCATTACCTGTGTAAGGTCATCTAGGAGGGACTCCTTTGTACCTGCTAGTGTGCCGTCAACTAGGAACCAGATGTTTAGCTCACTGGTCAGTCTGACTGTGATTTCCCTAACTGTTATACAGAAGAGAAATGGTGCAAGAGGATCTCCTTGTTGGACACCCTCCGATTTCATACTCTCCAAAGAAAAGCATTGACCCCTTGTAAAAAAGAAAGGACCGGGAAAATTTCTTGTCCTTCTTTACTTTCCTTTTTTCAGGATTAATCATTCTAAATCCAATTTTACCCTCCCCATTGCCCTCAGGAAAATTTTGTTGATTGGGGCCCTTGTTGCATAAAACCTGCTTCTTTTCCTTGAACCCCCAAAAAGAAAGTTTTGACCTCAGGGTGCCGTCAGATCCCTTATTTAAACGCAGTTTTGGGTATTTTTAATTTATAAAAAAAATTAAAATTTTTTTTTATTTTTTTAAAAAATTATTTTTTTAAAAAAAAAAAAAATATTTTTTATTTTAATATATTTTTTAAATAATATTTAATAATTTTAAATTTTTATTAATTTTTATATTTTTAATAATTTATTTTTAAAAAAAATATTTAAATATTTTAAATATAAATTAAAAATTTAATTATATATTTTTATATTATATATATATAAATTTTTTATATATATATATATATTAAAACTCCCCCCGGGGCAGGGTGACCAAAAAAGAAAAAAACCCCCCAAAAGAAAATATTTCATCACATTAACACTTTCCCCAACTCACACATTTCACTGTTTTTGCAGAGGTGTCAGAAAAAAACATTTTTGAAGCATATACGTATAAAGATACACAACATATCCCCCCAAAACTCCCAAACCCAAACCCTCATTTTAAAGTCAGGCATTGTATTCCTTTCCAGGCCCCAAGTCCGACTATATGAAAAATAACCGGTTTCCCTGAATCCCTTCACTAAATATTACCCGCTCACACTCCAAAGATCTAGGTCCAAGTATCATTCGTCTCCATTCACTCCTTCTAACCGCTCATGATATATATATATATATTATATAATATTTTTTATATAATATATATAATTTTTAATTATATATATATATATATATATATTATATATTTATATATTTTTAAAAGGGGGGGTTTTTGGGTATTGGCATTTTTGGAGGGATATGTTGTTATCTTTTACGTATATGCTTTAAAGTTTATTCGGACCTCTGCAAAAAGGATAATGTGTGAGTGTGGGGAAAGTGTTGATATGATGAAAATTTTTTTTTTTTGGGGATTTTCTTTTTTTTTTGGGTCCCCCTCCCTGGTGGGAAGGGCCACTTGTTGAAAAAAAAAAAAAAATTATATATATATTTAATATATATATTATTAAATTATATTATATTATATATATTTATAAAATTTTTTATATATATTTATATATATTATATATATATTTTCTTTGTGCATTAAAAGCAATTTTCATAATTTATAATATATAATATATATATTTATATAAAAATTATTATATAATATATATATTATATATATATATATATATATATATATATATATAAAATTATATATTTTTTTTTTATCACATGGCCGTTCCCACCAAGGAGGGTGGCCCGAAAAAAAAAAACTTTCACCATCTTTCGTCCACCCTGTTTGCGAAGGGTGCTTTACACTAATTTTTTAAAACTGCAACTTTAAAACACCCTCCTTCAAGTGCAGGCCTGTATTTTCCCAATTCCAGGACTCAAGCCCGGGCCCTGCGGTTTCCTGAACCCCCTTATAAATTTATTTTGCTCACACTCCAAAGCCGTCAAGTTTTAAAAAACCATTGTCTCCATTCACTCCTACAAAAAACGCTCACGCATGCCGGGAAGTCCAAGCCCCTCGACACAAAACCTCCTTTCCCCCCCTCCCCCCAACCCCTTTCCCAGGCCGACCCCTACCCCGCCTTCCTTCCACACAGATGATACACTCTGAAGTCATTCTTTTCGCTCCTTCTCTTACTTTCCGAACCCCCCTCAACAACCCTTCTATCATTATATATATATATATTATATTTTATTATATATATATATAATATTATATATATATTTATATATATAATGATAGAGTGGATAGAGGAGCAATGTGAGATGTTGCAATATATGGAAAAGGTGGTAGTTTTTTAAAAAGCTGTAAAGAGTTTTTATGAGGATGTGGGCTCAGGTTGGATGTGTAGAAGAGAGGGAGACTATTCCGGTAAAAGTAGGTCTTAGACGGGGATTTTAAATGTCCCCGGGGTTGTTTAATAATTTATAGATGGGTTGTAAAGAAGTAAATGCTGGGGTTTCGGGGGGGGGTGGGATTAAACTTTTGGGGGAAACAAATTCAAAAGGGGAAATTTACACAGTTACTTTTTTTGATGATACTGTGCTTATGGGGGATTTAAAGAAAAAAGCAAGGTTATGGATGAGTTTGGGAGTGTGTGTAAAAAATTAGAAAGTTGAAAGTAAACATAGAAAAATAAGGGATGAGGGGGTTTAAATGATTTAGATAAAGAAAAATTTGGGTATCAAATTTGGGGGAGGGGTATGGAAAAAGTGAATGTTTTCAGAACTTGGGTTGACGTGTCGGCGGATGGGTTTATGAAAGGGTGGGTTAATCATAGAATTGATGAGGGAAAAAAAGGGGAGGGGCGTTTTAGGTATAGTGGGGTCAAAAAAACGTTATCTTGGGGAAAGAAGGGAATTATGAAGTATAGTAGTACCAAAACTCTTATATGGGTGTGAAGCTTGGGTGGTAATTTCGCAGCGAGGAGACGGTTGGAGGGAGTGGAGATTCCTGTTTAAGGGGCAATGTGTGGGGTAAAAATTTTTGCAGAAAATTCGGGGTGTGGAAATTAGGAAAAGGTGTGGAGTTAATAAAAGTTTTGTCAGAGGGGCAGAAGGGGGTTGTTGAGGTGGTTTGGTCATTTAGAGAGAATGGATCAAAAAAGAATGACATGGAAAGCTATAAATCTAGGGGGGAAAGGGAAAGGGGGGGTAGGGGCGTCCTCGAAAAGGTTTGGGAAGGGGGGGTAAAGGGATTTGTGGGGGAAGGGGCTTGGACTTTCCCGCAAACGTGCTGAGCGTTTTAGATAGGATGAAAGGAGACGAAGGAATTAACCTGACGATTGTTGGAGTGGAGAGGGAAAATTTAGTGAAAGGGTTCAGGGGAAAAAGGTTTTTTTTTATAGTCGGACTTGATCCCCGGAAAGGGGAAATCAATGCCTGCACTTTAAAAAAGGGGTTTGGGATTTTGGCATTTGGGGGGATATGTTGTGTATTTTTAGTATGCTTCTAAAAAATGTTGTATTCGAGCACCTCTGAAAAACAGTGATAATGTGCGAGTGTGGTGAAGTGTTTTAAGATGAAATATTTTCTTTTTGGGGTTTTATTTTTTTTTGGGTCACCCTGCCCCGGTGGGGAAAGGCCGACTTGTTGAAAAAATAATATATATATTATATATGTATTATATAATGTATATAATATATAATATAATTTATATATATATATATTTTTTATATATATATAAATTTTTATATATATTAAATATAAATTTTTATATATTTTATATAATTTTATATATTTTTTAAATATATATATTTATTAATATATATATATAAATATAAATTTTTATAATATATATATATTATATATAATTTATAATATATTTTTTTTTTTTTTAATTTATATATAATTCAAAATTTTAATTAAAATTAATTAATTTTATTGTTTTAAAATTTGTGTGTGGGTTGGGGGTAAATTTTTTACAGGTCCCCAAAATAATTCACAAAATTAAGGTTCGGTGGGATTATTTTCCCCGGGCCAAAATTTTTTTGCAGCGCAGGTCGTACCAGGATTTTCCCCTTCTAAGGTTTTCCCCTTTTAAACTGACCCTTTATTTTAAAAACCTCCCTTACTAGGGCCGTTAATTATTATCCCAAAAAAAATTTCACCAGAAATTTTATTTGTTCATATTTACTGCAGGTATTTTTTCCATTCCCAAGGTTTTGGTTTTAAAAAAGTTTTTCTTAAAACCAAAATTTACATGTAAATTTATTTAAAATTATAAAACATTCTATAAAGGGAAAAAAAATATGCATTTGATTGGTTTTATTTATTTCTATTACCAATTAATTTGGATATAAATTTTGTTTTAATTTTACTTGTTAAAAACCGTGCAATAATTTACATTTATTTAATTTTTAATTTTAAATTTATAAATTAGAAAATTTAAAAAATTATTATTATTTTTTTATTTTATTTTGGGTTTTAAATTTATTAATATTTTACTTATATTTTGATAATTTATTTTGTTTTTAAAATGGGTTTTTTTGAATGTATTTTAATTTAATACCTTTAAAATATAAAAAATATTTTTAATATTTTTTTAAATATAATATTATATTTTATTTAATATTTTAAAAAATAATTTTTAAAAATTTTTAAAATTTTATTTTTGAGTATTAAAAAGTAAAATACCCTGGGAATTTTTCAAAAAAAGATTAATAGTGTTTAAAGAAACAATATGTTTTAAGGGAAAAGGTGAACTGTATATCCGTGAGGGATATAAAGAAATATGCGCCGATATACAAATAATTGTAATTTTTCCGAAGGAATCTTCTGAGAGATGCCGTTCACTGAATCACCAGTCCGTGGCTTGCCAACAGTCTTGTGCAGCATGTTGATGAGAGACAGTTAGATACTGCTTAAGACAAACAATATGCTGTTTAGACCACAAACCGCATGTATTTTTTTTGATCATTCTACCGGTATATTCTCTCATTTTTATACTCAGCACTGTGGAGGTTAATGGGAGATATCTCCAGCGTCGCACTTATGATGGAGGCGGTGGAGGTTGATGGTGTTGTATGTTGGAGGTTTAGGATGACGTGTTGGACCAGTTCCAGTACCTCGTGTTTACACCAGTACACAGAGTCTAGTAGATGTATTTTTCATTATTGTAGATTTTTTTAAGCACTGGGCTCTGCCGTTGTGGGATTAAAATTTTATGATTTGATTCTTTGAACGTTTGTACAAAGGTGTTCACTGGTGTTCACTCGCCTGGTTAGATCCTTCTTATAGGGAAGGGAATTGGTGGTTGCAGTCCAAGATTAACCAAGGAATCCAAGGAGATTACCAAGTCCGCCACCAAGTCCACCACCAAATCCACGATTAAATCCGCCACCAAACCCGCGACCAAACCCGCCCCCAAATCCACGACCAAATCCGCCCCCAAATCCACGCCCGAATCCGCGACCACCAAAACCACGACCAAATCCGCGACCAAACTCGTGACTGCCAAATCCAAACTGGGGGTCAGGATCAGCCAGGGCTTCGGGGTCAGGAACAGCTCGAGCTGACCCCATCAGGGCAGTCAGTGCCACCACAACCAACACGAGGGCCACCTGTAATAAGAGAAAATATGTTTCAATATTTCGTGTAAGTAGAAGTAATGGGAGTGCTGTGAATATAAATTTTCTGCACTTCTTATATATATATATATAATATATATATATATATATATATATTTATATATTTTATATATATATATATATATATATATAATATATATATATATATATTCGTCAGGAAAAATGACCAGACTCGAGTCCTATCCCAGGATGACCCGGCACTAACTAATGATTATTCATCAAACACATGTGGAAGTTTGAAGATTGGAACGGAGGAACTTCTTACAGGCATAAATAATGCAAGAAGTTAAGAGGGAGGAGGGGGCTGTACTGTTTAATCTGTGATGTCTTCAGCAGAAAAAGAACTTCATCTGGAGGTTCTCAGTTCTCTTCTGCTGAAGAGGATGTAAGTCAGAGCTCGAAATATATAGCCACATCTTCATTTCTTGTTTGACTTCCGTCTACAAGTGCGTGTTCTCTCTTCTCATTGACCGGTGATCATTGCATTACCAACACTGCAAGATTAGATGATATTTTTCTGCCGACGAATACGAAAGAGTCAGCTAAGACGCTACTATAAGACTCAGTCGAGAACCACTACCGAGAACTACTCTTAGAAGTTACTCACTAGCTTCATGTTGAGCAAAAGTGTTGCCTAAACGACTGCAACTGGTTGACTGTACACACCTCCTATGCTCCACTTTATATATTCTCATGACAGATGTACATGCCTCCTGGCCCCGCCCCGACACGTTCATCTCAAGCGCAATAAGTAAAAGAATGGTGGATGCTACATATTTTTATTTGTTATATATGTATAACCGCTCCATGAAAGAATTAGAAGCACACATGTTTATATATAAACATTACTGCACTGGTATTATGATCTGTACATGATGAGTTTTATCAACTTCGCCGACTTCTAAATAAAATAATGTTTTCCAGATGATGTTTTGTCCACGTGATACATATATTTTGTGAAATTAGATGACAGTTAATAGTACAGATGGAGAGACCTTGGTTACGCAGAGCATTACGGGCGATACTTCGAAGACAATGCCTCAGAAGACGAACTTTCGCTTCGCTCTCTTCCCTCTTTCTTCGTCTGCTATATATCCCTCACCTGACGCTAGTATATAAGCGTCAGTCTTCTTGCCAGTGTTTAATAAAAATGCTTATAATCGTAATCATGATTCTTTAAAGGAGTAGACCGGTAAGCCAGAGGAAGGCCTCGGTCAGATAATCAAAATCTCCAGTTGCGGGTCATCATTAAGATGATGATCCGCAACTGGAAACACTTGTCCTTTTTTCCCTGACAAACCTACCAAACTAACCAAAATTCTTAAAAAATATTGGGAATCGCCGAGACAAAACAGAAAAGAGACTGTAAATCACCAAAGGGATGGGGAAAGGACATCAAATCGACTGTTTGGGAAATTGACGGGAGTGCAAAGTAAGATTGAAAAGTATATTTTGTTTCCTTCCCCATCCCCCATCAACTACAAGTGACTCCCCCCTCCAATCCCAACCCATGAGGTGCCTTTTTACCTCCCCTAAACCCAGCACCAACCAATCATCACCCCCTTGCCCCCAGCTTTCTTTCCCCAACCACTTTGGGCCACTCATCAGTCTCGCCCGCTAGCGCAAAATTAATGGTATTCCATAAATAGTTTCCTTATTAATCTCGAAATAATTAACCCATAATTTGATAAATCTGTCTGCTAGACATTTTTAGGACTCAATACTTATCATTAAAATATGCACTGTTTTTGGTACTGTGCCTACGATAAATGCTGCTGAATTTGGAGTTTCAGTAGTGTAACTGTAACTGTAATTTTTTCTAAGTTGGTACACTCATGTACCTCCAAGAAAGCTGTACTTAGCACACAGCTTTATGGAGTGTTGGTCAGCAGTACCAAGCTTGCTGTGGAATCCAATTTTCTTATCTACCCAACGAGAAGAAAATAACATGAAATATGAAGGCAGAATCTGTAGTCTAGAAATATAGAATTCATCACCCAGAAGCATAGAACACATTATCAAGTAACTTAGAAACTATAATGAAGAAAGTATATGTCAATATCAAGAAACTTAGAAAAGAAAGATGTCATAATCAAAAAACTATAATCAAGATGGTAGATGTTCATTATTTATGAGCATTATACTTTGCCCTTATCTTCAAAGACTAAAAGAAGCCTCATAATTATTCGTACAGGACAGGGCGTAAATTTAATTCGGAATCTGCTTGTATCGCATAAGCAGTTTATCTCAGCAACTGGTCAGACACAGGGAAGGTCCAGCCACATATTACTAGATAACCCCTCAACGCTTCCCTGTAATTAGTGTGTCATAAGCAAGGTTAGGTTAAAATAATCTCTTTGTGCACGAATCAGCCAACACAAAGAGACTAGAGAAATCATTCGGGATTGGACTGTCGTCCTAATGATCGTAAGGACAAACACGACACAGACAGGATTGGGGTCGGTGAGAAACCAAGATTAAGCAGTGGCCAAAACCTCCGCTCTAAACCGCTAAATCCGCGAGTACAAAGTGCGTAACCGCTAAATCCGCGAGTGCTAGATGCGTAACCGCTAAATCCGCGAGTACTATAAGCACGACCGCTAAAGAAGTTACCGTACTGTCTCAGCAGGGATGTTAGGCTCAGTCAGGGGCCCGGTAGAATTCCCTAACTTATAGCAAGACCAGAGGTAACGAGTCCAGATCTCCTTACCTACCAGCCATGAAAAAACCCAAAGGCCGAAGAACGTAGGAAACACGCTGATGAATAAGTACCTCTGTAATGAATAAAAAAAAAAGCCGCTGGTTGACGAAAAGTCTTCGGTATGAAGGTTTCCAGGTGGTATACATGTGTTTTAGCCATCAACTTGAGGGTCCTGTGCACCATTGCTGCTACATGTGTGAGACACGTGTTAAATATTTGTTGAGCGATGGAGACGGAGATGCTGTGATTTTTATCTCCTTGCCAAGCCGGATGTAAGGCATCTAGGAGGTTCATGAAGGATTCACATCATCTTTCTTACTGCGTCATGAGATTTTAGTATTATGTTCACATTACGTGTGTATATATATAT